ATTAATATGTGTAAAACCAGAATGTCATTAACAACCCAAGGTGTTGAAATATAAAAGAGCCACACTTTTTCTTCAGCCAATTGCTGGGTTGCTACAATGAAGAGGAAAAAAAAAAATCCAGGTGTCTCTGATTCAGTAAAGTTGTTCAAGTCTCTTAGAACAGGGTCTGCATTGCTGGGAACTCTGCCTGGCAGAGGGGACCAGAGCTGGACAGGACCCAGCTACAGCCCTGCAGTTTAACCCTCTGGCTGCCTTAATTCACTGGCACTTTCTACATAGCAGCTTCTGTCCGTCTGTGGAGAAACCCTGGATACCAGAGATGCACAGTGTGTTTTGATTAAGTTTATTTACTATCCAGTCTTCAGAAAGTTCGTGAAAAATATGTGTTAGGAACAAAAGTTGTGTGGATTTCAAGTATTTTTTGGCACCAAAATAAACTTATTTTTCATCCATTTTTTCTACAAACTTTAAAAAGCATCAACATATGTGATCTGGTTGCAGTTATTGGGAACCTGATTGTTTATTCTTATTACAAGTAATCAGAAAGATCTGTTAATCATAAAGAAATAAGCATTTGTAAAAAGTCTTTCAGATAAGATCTCTAAGAATTTTCACAACAGTCTATGCACTAGAGGCCTTTTTTTGCTTTTAGACAAATCACTGAAAAAAAAAAAAAACTACAAAAGGATACCAGCTGACTTCCTGTTCCTCAAAGTTTCTCCATTAGTTTGCAGATCGTTAGGGGCTTCCTTCCTTCTGTTTGTGTTGCTGTTGCAATGTATAATCTATTAGAAAATTATTCCCTGGAAATTCAGGGTCTTCAGAAAACACTGAGATTCACTCCCCCACTCCCTTACCCCAAGTTACTTCAGTGGTGGCAAAAATAACAATTGTCCCCTGGGAAATGAAGCTCATCACTATGGTAACTGTGAAGGTTGCATCATTCTAGGGCACATTTTTAAAAGCCTGGATTTCAACATGGGTAGATACCCCATCTTATTTTATTCAGTAGCTTAGCAACCTGTGGTATAGTGTTTGTCACTACCTGCATCTGCCCTTTCTTCTTAGAACAGCGACCTATATAGACTTATATAGGATATAGACTTATATAGACTTATAGGATTCTGTTGTCAGCATGTTTTTACTATAAATTTGGTTTGATTCTTAGGGATGTTTTTGATGACCTTATATTTCAAGCCAAAAATCAGGACACATTTTGTGTGTGAGAAGTAAAGAAGGATTTTTCTTGAACCTCTTTGGTGACCTGCTCTAGGTTCTTCACAGATGTTTTCTCTCTACACAAGATATTAGTGTTACTCAAAGGGTTGTCGTTGGTTATCTTTTCTCCTTAGTCACTGATCTTATTACTTATATGCTGTGACTCCCAAACCAAGTAGACTGCTTAGTCCTCTCTTAGTCTGTTTTCTGTTACTGTAACAAAATACCTGAGAGGGGGTGATTTATAAAGAATATTTGGCTCATGGTTCTGCAGGCTGAGAAGTCCAAGTTTGTGGTGCTGGCATGTGCCTGGCATATGATAAGGCCTGCATCAGCCTCACAAATATGCATTGTAATTTGGCAAGATGGAGCAAGTGAGCCATCTCAGATCTCTCTTCCTCTTCTTATAAAGCCACTAATGCCATGGGCCTCCCCCCACACCTGGGACCTCATTTCACCTTATTCTCCCAAAGGTCCTACCTCCAAATATCATTAATAATATGAATTTGGGTATTAAGTTTTTAATGCATGAACTTTTTTTTTGGCATATGGCGGGGGGGCATTGAAACCATAGCAGTCCACAGATTGTTCAAGATGAACTCAACATTGCCCTCCACAACAATCAGATGGCACCACCTACCATTTATGTGGCAGCCCACATCCAGTCACCCTGCAAGCCCAGATGCTTCTTCTGGAATGCTCTAAAATCTGTTGTCATCTCTCTTCTAGGACCTCCTCTTTTTTTAAATTTGCTGCCCACATCTTCCAAACTGGTTACATCAGAGTAACCAGGCTTCCCCCAAACAAATTTCTCTGCTTATCCTCAGTGGATTTCATTGTCCTCAAAGTAAAATCCAGAATCTTCCTGATGGACTCCAAGACCCTTGGTGGCCTCATGCCAACCTCTTTGGCTTTTTTCTCGCTGCTCTTACTGCTCTTGCCTCCTTGAGCTGCTGGGCTGCTTCTAGTAGGAGCCCACCCTGCCTCTCCAGTCTCCACTCTCTGCTTGCTGTTCATCTGCTTCTAAGACCACATCCTTTCCAAGAAGCTTTCTCTGACCCCGGGCTCCATACTCAGAGTTAGATGCTGGTGTAACAGCATGAATATCTCCTTACCTTGACGGGGGTGTGAGGGTAGAGAGAGAAATCTTCCACCTGCTGGTTCTCTCCCCAAATGGTCATAACAGCCAGGACTGGGCCAGGCCAAAGCCAGGAGCCCAGAATTTCATCTGGTCTTCCACATGGTAGCAGGGGCCCAAGCACTTGGGGCACCTTCTGCTGCCTTGATAGGCACATTAGCAGGGAGCTAGACAAGAAGCAAAGGAGCCAGGACCTGAACTGGCGCACTGATATGGGACACCAGCTTTGCAGTTGGCAGCTTAATCCACTGCACCACAAAAACCACCACAGGTTATGTTCTTCCCAAAATAGTCCAGCTGCTGGACTTTGAGATGCAAATTGCCCATTTCCTGGCTCTCCTAGTGTCTTGTTGCCTAACTGGGGGGAGCTTACGGCAGAGAAAGAGGGGGAGAGTGGACAGTGCAGTGCAGCTGGGCCTTTTGGGGTATGCGTGTGTGTGTGTGTGTGTGTGTGTGTGTGTGTGTGGTTGGATGACTGGGGGGACACTTTCCCTTCAACAAGCATGCATTTTTCTTCCCCAACACACTGACATCTATTGGCTTCAATGTAACTCTTTTCTTTCTCTCTCTTTCTCCCCTCCCTCCCTCCCTACCTCCCTGCCTTCCTTCCTTCCTTCCTATCAGATAATACTGGTCTCTTAGAATGTATGATAAAGTATTTCCTCCCAGATGTTTGGTTGATTTCAGCTGTGAGGCCATGTGGTCTGCACTTTTCTTTGCTGGCAAGTTTTTCATTATTGATTTGAGGTGTGTTGAGATTATTCTTGAGTCATTTTTGGTAAATTGAATGTTTCTAGGAATTTGTTCTTTTAATCTAGGTTATCTGGCTGGCATATAAGTATTCTTTAATAATTCACTGACTTTCTTTCTTTCTTTAAAGATTCATTTGAAAGGCAGTTACAGAAAGAGAGGGAGAGGGTGAGGGAGAGGGGGAGAGAGAGAGAGAGAGATCTTCCATATCCTGGTTTACCTCTCAAATGGCTGTAACAGCCAGGTCTAGGCCAGGCTGAACTCAGGAGCCCAGAACACCCTCCAGTTTACCATTATACCTGTTCACCTCATAAATTAGTATAGTTGACCACAAACACTAAATTTTGCCTGTGTCTGTACATACCACTACATTATAACTTGTTGCCATTTAGTGAAAAAAACATTGCTTTATTGTGCCTGTAGTTGGTCTCGCCTTTTTCCTGCTACTTATTTATAGGAGATCTACCGATTCACATGGGGAGAGTATCCAATGCAGTTTAAAATTTGGTCCAGTATAATGACTTAAATAATCTCTCTCTTTTTTTTTAAGATGTATTTTATTTATTTGAAAGTCAGAGTTACAAAGAGAGGTAGAGACAGAGAGAGAGAGGTCTTCCATCCACTGGTTCACTCCCCAGATGGCCGCAACAGCCGGAGCTGTGCCAATCCGAAGCCAGGAGCCAGGAGCTTCTTCCAGGTCTCCCACGTGAATTCAGGGACCCAAGGACTTGGGCCATCTTCTACTGCTATCCCAGGCCACAGCAGAGAGCTGGATTGGAAGAGGAGCAGCCAGGACTATAACTGGCACCCATATGGGATGCCGGCACTTCAGGCCAGGGCTTTAACCTGCTGCACCACACACCGGCCCTTAAATAATCTCTTTAGATAAGATTGTCCAACTCTCTCTGGGAGAAAAATGCTCAATTTCTCAGTCTACTTTTATATTTGGGATGATTTAAGGGAGTGGGGCAAGGTATGTGGCTTTTGTGGGAGCAGCAGTGGGACCATTTCCCTTGGTTTGAGGTCCGCCATATTCTCTGGTCCAGAGGGTGTGTTTGTCTTGTGCCATGGCAAATGCAGATGATATCAAGGTTGGTGGCCTTCATGGTTGGCCTTTTCATGTTGGTCAGAATCTAATGATCTCCCTAGCTGGTTCAGACTGCACTGCCTTTGGCTGCTGCTCTCTGAGTTCTCCTGGGTACCTTGTCCCTATCCAGCATGCTGGCTTGAAACTTTATTCACAGCTGTTGCTTCCAGATCTCCCTGAGCCCCGTGACCTGCCTACCAGCTCAGGAAATCAGAATATCAAAGTTTACCATTGCTTGACCATGCTTAGAAAAACTGTGCCTCTGGATGATGACCTGGCTTTCAAGACTATGCCTTACTCTGTAATCCTTCCTTTCATGTCAGATGCTGCACATTATTTCATTTGATCTCCTTGCACTTCCTTCACTAGAAAACCTAATAATTCCCTAGGCAGGTGTATGCTTCCAGCAGACTAGGGCAAAGGTCAGATGCTTGGAAAGGCAAAACAACAACAAAGAAAATAATAGCTTTCAAAATACTATTACAATTAAATGTGTGTGTGTGTGTGTGTGTGTATATGAGAGTGATTTTCACAGAATCGTAGGTAGTTCTAAATCTACAAAAGCTTTAAATTTAAGGAATATAGGATTTTTAGAGAGGCATGTGTACATACATATATGTACATATACATACATATATACATTTTTTAGATAGGCATGTGTGTACATATATGTGGTTAAGGCATATACTTAATGTGTTGAGACATAATATGTGTATAATATGAAGAGGTTTGCTTTCTGTATATCAGCATTTTGCCATAATTAAGCATACTGTGTTTTCACGCACCCATTTTTTTCTTCTGTTGTAGGACAGTTCGTGTTTGGTTAAAGAGAGACAGTGGACAGTATTGGCCAAGCATATACCATGCAATGCCTTGTAAGTATCTGAATCTCTGTGTAAAAACACCAGACATGCACCCCAACTCCCTTTCCTCCCCAGATTGCCTTCTCTGTATTTTCTTCTTAAGTTGGGAAGGCTGAAATTTAGAAATCTCATTATAATGAAAAGTACCATATTAAATCAATTGAGATTTTCCAAGGTTCTCACTATGTAAAGTAGGAAAATTATCTGAAATTGACTATATACTCATAGTTTCTGAATAAGATTAATGGAAGAAAGAGTACAGCACACAGATTCTCTGATCACAGCAGTCTTTCCCTTTTTCAACTTTCTGTTTAATTGTTTTGTAAAGTACATCCTTAGGCAACTCTAAATTTTGTCCAGTGATTACATTTGTGAAGTAAATTTGTCCTTGCCTTATTGTTGTATCACTTATTCAAATTCAAGACATTCAGCATTGACAATTCAGTTTCTCACAAAGATTTGTTTAGGATTAAAACATTTTAATTAGAAGTGGATCTCATTTCTCCAATATCTTACTTGACAAATATGCTGCTGCACTGATAAGTAAGGACTATTCCAAGTACACTTTAAAGAAAGAAATGAGTGATTTTAAGACTGTTTGACAAAAGTTCCCCTACAGGTGGAGAAGAGCTGGCCTTCCCCAAAATAAGAGATTTCTTTTTAGTCTAGTTTTTTATCTTTAAGATGAATGAAGTTTGGGTGTGCTATCCCATGTTTATTTTTGTGCAGAATAATTATTTAAATTCATGATCAGTTGCATTCAGTATTTCCTTTATTCTTTTTCTTCAACTTTTAATTAAAATTGGCCCCCTAGAAAAATCTCCCAGATTTGTGTTAGGGCTCATATACCCTCTGGCTTCCTGCAGTGTGCCCCCCCCCAACTCCTCTGATAGAAGTACCCCAGTTTCAGAGGTACATACCACTATATACAACCAAAATAAATTCATGCTAAATTGTAGATGTGATTAAGTTTATGCCTCTGGCAAAAGAATAGTGTAATAACAATTTTGCCTGTTTATGAGCAGATGAATTATTAAGGATGTAATGCTTTTCATTGATTTTTCAAATTATCTCCAAGGCTTTGCATATCTTTAGAATAGTAACTAGATGTTATCCATGAAGTTGTACCAAGCATTCAACTTTTTCTGTGATGAAGAAACTTCTTCTAATTCTGAACACAGTATTCTTCCTTTACTTGTTGTGCTTCCAGCAGAAACATTATATGTTATTGGCACAAGATAAACTTGCTTTTCAAGCCACAGCAGAGATGAGGGTTTACGTAAATGGAAAGGGAAGAGAATTATCTGGCTTTTAAGTGATATAACCAGTCTTTTCTGTGGTCTTGCTTCATCATCAAACTTGATAAAATCTCTAAAGGGAAGGGATGGAGAAGAGCTATCACTCAGCAGTTTGAAGTTGGCTCTCAAGACCTGTAGCTCTGTTGGCTGTGCAGACAGGAAAGGAGTATCTGATAATTCTCTTCCTCAGTAAGCATGAATTTGTTGTTCAAAGTGTTGCCTATGGACCAGAAGCATCAACATCACCTGAGAATTTATTAGAAAGGCAGTAATGGAATCCACAACCATGCTACTGAATCAGAATCTGACTTTTCTTTTTCAATTTGAGAGAGAGAACTGGTAACTCAATCCAAGGCCCCCATGTGTGAATTAAGGACCCAACTTCTTGACCCATCACCCAGAGTGTATGTTAGCAGGAAACTTGAATCAAAGGTAGAGCCAGGACTCAAATACAGACACTCCAATTTGAGATGTGGGTATCCCAAGTGGTGTCCTAACTGCTCTATCAAATGCCCACCCTAGAATCTGCATTTGAATAAAACCTTTAAGTGATTTGAATATACAATAAAGTTAAAGAATATTGTCTTATGGCATTATAACCAGCATGTTGATTATCTACATATATAGGTTTGTAGGAACACATGTGAACCTCATACATAGCGGTGATTTGGAAATACTTAGATGTAAGTACATGTGCTGGTCATTCAAGGATTTACTGCATACCATACCTGCTGTACGCAGGCTACCAGTCTAGGTGCCAGGGCTTTGTAAATGAACACATTGCATATGATGAAGGTGGTTTCTGTAATATTTCATTGTTAGATTGCTGTAAGAAAGCGAAAGAAAAAAGGCTATATGCCTCACAACTGGACAGAGATTGCCTTTTCTGTTCCTGGGGTTCTTGTGCATTCAGATGACATAGTCACTGATTTCTGAGCAAGAATTTGAGCATTGTTTAACTCGAGGCAGAATCTGATTATGTAAAGAAATAAACAGTACTTTAGTCAGTTAGAGAACCAGAAATAGGTTTTAAAAAATGGAAAAAGAAAGTGGGGGGGAGGCCAGCACTGTGGTGCCGTAGGCTGATCCTCTGCCTGTTGAACTGGCATTCCATATGGGTGCCGATTCAAGTCTTGGCTGCTCCTCTTCTGACCCAGCTCTCTGCGGTGGCCTGGGAAAGCAGTGAAAGATGGCCTAAGTGCTTGGGCCCCTGCACCTGCACGGGAGACCCGGAAGAACCTCCCGGTTTTGGATAAGCACAGCTCCGGTTGTTGCAGCCATTTGAGGAGGGAACCAGCAGATGGAAGATCCCTCCCTTTGTCTCTCCCATCTCCATCTGTAACTTTGCCTCTCAAAATAAATAAATCTTAAAAAAAAAAAAAAAAGAAAAGAAAAAAGAAATAGGTTTGAGTTTCCAGGGATTGTTTTGCAGTCATTTCTATTGGAAGGTATTTTGTTAAGAGGGTATGCAGCATTATCCTTAAATAATGACTGTGCTATTAGTTACAAAGTAAGTGAAAAGGTACAACCTATCTGGAGGCTGTAATATGGACATCACAAGGCAGATATACTACATTTTGTGTTTATAATTGCACTAGCATGTCAAGGAGTATTCCAAATACAGAAGACAAAAATATTCTAGGCATTTACAATATAATTTATTGGCTTATTTTATCTATTAAAATATCTTTTAAATGTGGTACCTGTTATCTACTGGGTAGGTGAGTAGATGTTATGTAGCTCTGAGAAGAATTTGAAGTTTAATGGAGGAAAAGCACCCAAGGTGCTGGCTGAGAATGAATAGATAGGGAAGGCTAAGGTTGCTGACAGGGAGTCAGCCTTGCGGGAGAGTGATGAGGCTAGTGATCTCGGGGATTAACTCAACAAGAAAATGATGAATAGCAGACACATCCTGATCAGAAGCACAGCCCTGCCTTGGGAGTGTCTTTATGCTCTGTCTTTTCTGGGACACTCCTCTTCCCTCCTACAGAGGAGCCAAGAGAAGCCAGACTTTCGTGGCAAAGGCTGTTTGCCCCTGGGCCAATCTGATTTTCCCAGGAATTTAGAATTTGGAGTTAAAAGTGCCAGTCTTTGCCTAAGCAGGTCTTTTGAACTGGGAACATAAAGAGAGACCCAAGAGCCCTGAGGTGTCTGTGTGTATGGACAAACTGTGAGAGCTGTGCTGCAGCCACAGCGATGGAGGACATCCCAGGTCCTGGGGGAGAGAAATCCCAAGTGGGTGCTGTCTGATTGTTTTCCTTTCTCATCATCCTAATCCCCCAAGAAGCCGGGCTCAGCTTCTGAATTCAGCAGCTACCTATTTGTACTTACGTTCACCCAAGTTTCTCTTAGTTGTGATGGAAAATATTTGAGTGAGCCTAACCCTGATTGTATATATCCTAATTCTCATTTGTTCAGTTTTTCTTGGATCTTTGTTGTCTTTATAAAGGACTGAGCCATGGCCCTATTGTTGCCAATGTAGGGTTGAACTGAGCATGGTGTGGGACAAGAGAGGGCTTGGGAGGAAGAAAGCAGAAAGCTGTGTTTTATCCTGTTTTCTTTAATTTCTCTGTCCAGTTCATTCAGCAAATGTTAAGTATTTCTTCCATACTCAACACTGTACAGTGTATTAAGGATGTAGTGGTTAAAAATGGCACACACTACCTGTCTTCATGGCGTTCACAGCCTGCTGGGGAGGGCCGGTGTTCACTGAGTTTCAACCATGATGTGTGGGGACTGTTAGTGAAGTAGGCATGATGGGATTGTGGTCATAAAATCTCTCTGGAGAAAATCCATTGTAATCTCTGTTCTCCATACAGAACTTGAGGTGACTGATGTTTTGTGTTGTAGTTTCCTTAAGCCAGCTGACTTTATGGATGAATGAGAAATCAGAGCATATTCCTTAATGAATATGAGGGTGCATCAAAAGTCTTATTGAAATGGAATTAAAGGTGTGTATTTTGGTATGAAATATTTTGAAATCTGTGCATATGAGAGGTCTTCCAAAGGTTCCTGGAAAGTGTATACTTTGAAAAAACTATGGGGCTGGTGCCACTGTTCACTAGGCTAATTGTCTGCCTGCGGTGCCAGCATCCCGGGTTCTAGTCCCTGTTGGGTTGCCGGATTCTGTCCCGGTTGCTCCTTTTCCAGTCCAGCTCTCTGCTGTGGCCCGGGAGTGCAATGGAGAATGGCCCAAGTGCTTGGGCCCTGCACCCGCGTGGGAGACCAGGAGGAAGCACCTGGCTCCTGGCTTCAGATTGGTGCAGTGCGCTGGCCACATCACGCCAGCCATAGCGACCACTTGTGGGGTGAGCCAACGGAAAAAGGAAGACCTTTCTCTCTGTCTCTCTCTCTCTCTCTCTGTCTCTCTCTCTCTCACTGTCTATCTCTGCCTGTCAAAAAAAAAAAAAAAAAGAAAAGAAAAGAAAAAACTATGTATGAATTCCAAAAAATTTTTGCACCAAAATAAGCTTATCTTTCAATCCCATTTTTCCATTACTTTTTGAAGCACCTATGTATTCTTTCAGAAAAGAATGTTCTCTTGGTGTGTCTCATATAGTAACTGCTGATTGTCTTTGACAATACTGAGTTCCAGCCTATACCCCCAGGGGCCTGCCTAAGCCTGTAATAAGGGGCCTTCCTTAGGAGTACACAGTTAAGTTTCATTTGCAGCCATAAATATAATTGTTTTATCCAGTCTTCCAATAGGTACCA